CCCCCCCCCTGCGCCCCCCCCCCCCCCCCCCCCCGAGCACCAGGGAGGGGAAGGCCATGTAGCTCTATCCTCCCCCCACGGTCACCAGGAGGGCCTGCCACCAGCTCTTTCTGGCCTTCCCCCAGCCCTTTCTTGCCCCTTCTCCGCCTCCCCCCCCCGCTTTTTCTCACTCCTCCCATCCGCCACTCTCTCCCCAACCTAGGGTGCGTGTGAAGGGGCCTGGGGAGGCTTGCGGCTTCGCCCCTCCCTCCCACTGGGAGGGTGGGAGAGGAAATGCCACATAGCTCCTGGGCTGCATGGCTTGCAGCTTTAGTGCTCTCTGGGGGGAGAAGTTGCTCCGGGACAGCTGAGCACTGGGGAAAGGGGAGGGAGGAGGCAAGTGGGACGCAGGATGATGTGATAATGTCACTTTGTCGTCCCACATGAGAAGCTTTTTTGAAATAGGGAGAGAGAGACTGTGTAGACATACATAAACTAAACTCAGAAGATGAGAGAACATACTTATTAATACTTTTTTTTTTCTGTCGGATAGTTTGTTTAGGGTTGATATGGAATGTACTTAGATGGGACAGTTTTTCTAGATTACTTCCAAGACTTGGATATGGTAATTCCACTTTATGACCAGGAAATTGGGGAATATCTGTTACATTCATTTAGGGTACATCTACACAGCAGTGTTATTCCGAAATAACATAGTCTGTGTCTACACTACAAGCAGCTATTTTGACATAATGTCAAAACAGTGTCGAGCTGCAGGACTTCTTACTCAGACTCCTGTAATCCTCATTTTATGAGGAGTAAGGAAAATCAGAGGCAGAGTGCATCTTCCTTAGACTTCCCGCTTTGTAGACAGCACCAAAAGTTGAAATAAGCTATTGCGACTTATGCTACACAATTGACGTAGCTCAAGTTGCATAGCTTATTTCAGCTTTAGCCCTGTTGTGTAGTCATGCCCTTACATGGCAGTGAATCATAGTATTAAAGCAGCTGCTGAGAAGCATAAAAGTAACAAGTTAGCCCTTGATGCTGCTATCTGAAAGTGTTCCCTTGAATGTTGGTTGATGCAGTCCAAGGGAACACAAGGGAAGATCTTGGGGTAACTTTTCCAAAACACATTTTTGGAAAGATCTTGGGAGCCTGTGATTTGTGTTGGAAAATTGTATCATTGTCCTTTTCTGCACTCTCCTCCACTTTCCACCATTTCCTTGTTGGAAGCAACCATTGGTTTATCTTCTAAAGCATGATCTTCCACCTTCCTTTAAACATCATGGGGAAGACCTATATCCCTCAGTCAGAATGCCCTAATAAGGGCACAGTAGTCACAGACCTTATGACTCTTGTGTCAAGTCTTATAACACATGAAGAGCACCTTCTACTTAGAGACACAATCACTTTGGCTTCTTTGCCTCATTCGGAAGCTGTTCTGATGGTGGGAAAAATTTGTCCTGGGGCAAACACCAAGAGTGTTCTATGCCGAAACTGGACTTTCCTTTAAGGACGCCAGTTTCCCTAGAATCCTTGAACTAAGGGGGAATCTATCCTGATTGATGTAAACAGTGGAAATCTTGGTGGTGACTGGAATGTGGCTTTCCAAAAGCAGATGGGTAACTGGTGACAAATATCATGTTTGCTACTCCTAAGTCATGCAAAACCCAAGAATCTCTGCAAAGAGTCTTGCTAACTGACTTGTTTAAACTCCTTCCAGTTGTGGACATTTCACATTGACTATAAGCCCCAACTAGCATATGTGCGCTGCAGTGAATATGTGATAAAGGCAGATGCTCCGTGTCTCTCAGCGATGAGTTTGTCATTTGTTGAGCATGGAGGCATTATAGATATTTAAAAGCTATGCATTGAAGATTCTTATAATTCCACTAGGTGTCAGCAAAGGCTAACCAGCTTTGAGTGTTGTGTTGAGTGCTTGCACATTTATTTTTATATTTTCCTAATTTAGCACAGGCTTCAGTTACAAATATGTTCCAGTATTTATCATTTGTCACCCAGAGTTTGTGTAGGAGATTTCTTTTGGTTGTGGGTGAAGCAAACCATCCTTTTCTAGCCTGAAATAAGTTTATTCTTGACAGCATTAGAGGAAGGAAACCAGTGGCTGTTACTACATTTAAAATGCAGAGGCATAGCGTGAGTGGCTTCCGGAGCTGGCATGAGCTGGGACTGCTCAGTCCTGGCTTGAGGTGGCTCCTGGAGCTACCCTGCTGCGGGTCTGCAGAGCGATCTTATCAATTAATTGTGTAGTTGATAGAAATTGTATTGACTATACGGTTAGTTAGGTAACTGCAGTTTTAGCATAACTTCATCTAAGTCTCTATTGAACATGTGTGAACTATAATTTGACTTCTCCTCACCCCCGCTCAGGATTATCACTTGGTTAAATTTGGGTAGATTTTCATGGGGAAGGTAAAAGACATAGCCCTGATACAAAGTCTGTCCCTGAGTGCCTGCACGGGGTGCTAAAACTCTTTGTAGAAAATATTTTTTTTTTTTTTTTTTTGACATAAGTGAACAATGTATTTTTTCCCCATCTTGGAAAAGACTGAATTGTTTCAACCTGAAGCAGATGCCTGCATCACATTTACAGCGCTCTCCCATCTGCTAGTGATCCTGTCAAAGAAAGAAGTTACGTTGTTTTTGCATGTTTTGCTCATGACAAATCATTCTGGTGATTTCTTATCGCGTATTATCTTTTAGGTTCTTATTGATTATTTAACATTTTTTCCCAATATCTTTCCATGTATTGAAGTTTGGCTGTAATTAGTCTGTAATTCCTCAGATCCTCTTTGTTCCTCTTTTTAATATTAGGTACCATATTTGCCCTTCTGTAGTCTTCTGGTTGTCTTTAGTGAAAAAGACTAAAGCAAAATAGTGTTTAAACACCTAATCCTTTTTAATATTGTTCTTGCTATGTAGTGGGCCTGTACTTCCCTTAGTCCTTTAATACTCCTTAGCAATTTTCCATGTTTCCACTTGTTGTAGGAGTCCTTTTTTATTTTCAGGTCATTTAAAGAGCACCTGGTTGGAGCCACATTGGCCTTTTACCATTCTTTGTTTATTTTCTTTGAATTGGTATAGTTTGTAGTTGTGCCTTTTATATTGTCTAACAGGCTGCTGCAGTATATTTTTATAGCCTGTCATACTGCTGGAGTCATTTTTTATGGCTAAAAAGCTTACAGTGACAAACTTCACATGTATAATTCAGGCATCACGATAATATTTTTTAAGATGCTTCTTGGAAAAAAATTAATATGGTATGCTTTTTACAAGTGAACATATTTAGGCATTGGCTGAACTAGTGATACATTGTCTACCGTCATAAACTGCTATTGTGTTTGATAGCATCCTTCACACAGCACCCACATACACCATTTTCGAATTATGCAGAATGGTGGGTGGGAAGATTCTGAGGGTATGTCTACACTATAGGACAAGGTTGAATTAAGATACTTCCACTTCAGCTACACAATTAATGTAGCTGAAATTGCGTATCTTAACTTTACTTTTGGCACTATCCACACTGCAGGAAGTCGAAGGAAGAATACTCTCCCTACATGACTTAATGACAAATGAGATCACATCCACCTGATGAACATCCACCTGACCTCATTGTGTAATACCTGTTTTGTCATCAAGTGCTTGGGGACCACTCATAGTGATTCATCTTTCATTGCTGCCAAATACAAAGCACCAGTCCCACATATGGACAACATCTTGGGATTCAAAGGGGGCAATAATGTACTGTCACGGTAGTGTCAGAGAATCTGTTGGTTGCCTGCTGTTCAGAAGAGTGTCTGGGAACCAAGGGCTTTCAGGCTTTGTCTAAAAAATTTCTGTGAAATCTGGTATTTCTTGGCTTCCAAAGTCCAGAGGTCCTCAACTGCTATGAACCCTTCCCAGATTTAAAGCTCATGTATCTATTGCTTTGGCCATTCTTTCTAAGGAGGTGTGAAAACTGCATTTGTAAAGTAACATTAAACTAATTACAATAAATTTATTACCTGATTTGTACAGAGACTTCTAATACATTTGACAAGTCAAGGTTAGTAGAGGATTTAAGTACTGCATAAAAGAATCCTATATTTTGGATCTGCGTAAGGAGAGAGATGGACTAGCTAGAATATAGCTAAGGGGTATACTAACTTCGTAGATCTGGATATCAAACTGATGAACTTGTAGTATACAACAAAAAGAACTGGACTTTTCTGGATAATAATAGTTTATACACTGGTAAATAACTTTTTCTTTCATCACAACTAGAAACATTTCCAGGGGAGTTTTAAATGGTTTATTTCATTTCAACAGCATCTTTGATTTGTTCTCCATGGTAAGAGAGAGTTAATAAAACAAAATCAGACCTCCAGCAAACAGAGTTCAGTCTCTCTCTTTTTGTTAATATTTACAGCTCAAATCTAATCCCAGTGATAATGAGGAAAAGGAAGCCCAGTCTCAGCTGATTAAATCTGATGAACTGCAGCGCCTGCGTTCACAGGCAGTGTCTCTGTATCATCAAGAGGATTACGCTACTGCTATCAGTCTCCTTGATAGCATTCTAGAAGTAAGTTCTACCTGAAATAGAATTGAAGAGAAATAAGTTTTTCTCTTGCTGGCTGTAGCTTACCGAGCACAGTCAAGTCTTGGGAGCTGAGAGTGGTCAGCATCTGTCAGGACATGGCTACTAAAAAAAGAGAAATTGTGGACTTAATGGTTGAGGAAATCCTCACCTTAATCTTGCCTTCTGGTATAGATGACTTTTTTGTTAATACTTTGTTTAAATTTCTTGTCCTTTCCCTCGGCTCAAAGTTCAGTATTTTTTAAACCCTATAGTGGCTATTGCTTTAGAACTGGTTGGACACCACAGGTGTATAGCTTCCTTCCCCCCACTCTCCCGCAAGGTTTGTACCAGGGCTGCTTGCTCATCCCCTTCTTGTGCCTGTCAGGAAGCGAGAGCAAATTGCACAGCTCCTCTGCCCCCCTGTGTTCCCAGCCAGAGTTAGGAGTACAGTAAACTGAGCATTGTCCCCTTGTTCCCTGATGAAGGGGAACAGCCAGCAATGTCCCTGTATGAATCTGGGGCGGGAGGTTCAACACTCTTCTTCCCCCCCCCCCCGCCCTTCCCTCATGGGCACCTGGGGGAGGGGATAGGAGCCTTGGGGCTGAGGCAGTCCCAGACAGGGGTGGGGGTTGCGCCCCCAGCCAGCCCCTTTCACCTGCCTGTTGATTCTGTCTCTCTTCTGTATGGTTTTATGAGAAACAATTGCAGGCACATCCCATTTTCCTGGCACAACCAAACCCTTGCCTTGCTTTAAATTATGATAAGCTGAAGCTTCATACTGAATTTGGTGTCCTAGCACTTACCATTTAGGAGAAGTTCTTGGATAACCAGACAAACTCTCTCAAATATATAGTAGATTCAGTTTAAGATACTATCTCCAAGTCCCCTCTGTTATATGTAACAAAACGATATTCTGTTTTGAGGGTAAATCACATTAAGCACAATCATTTGTCAAATTTAGCATTTACTTCATAACTAAAAAAGGATAGGAGTGTGAGATTGGTGGGGGAGGACCTGTTTTAGAAAAAAACATGAAATGTTTTGTTGGTGTCATTTTTTACAACAAATTTATTACAGAAAGAGAAAAACTCATTTTTATTTTCAGGAAAAACATTGAGTCATTTATTAGCGAGAGAGGGTTGTTGTCCCTCTCTAAACCTGTACCGCCAAAAGTGTGAAAGGCAGACATGCACAAAGGTTGTTGTTATAGAAGCCTCCTTTTGGTGTCTATTTGGACAATAGGCACCTTAGCCACCATAATTCTTATCTTCTGTAATAGTGGGGGACGTGGTAATAACTTAGGATTCCTTCAGGCTCAGTTCTTTCCCAGTTCTTTCCAGTGGTGCTGGGAGTTCAATCAGGCCTCACTGAATGGGCTCATCTGTATGCCTACAAATCACTTCTCTAAGTAACTTATTTTCTGTTATCTTTTGGGGGAATGGATTTGAAATAAACCTTCCTGCTGTCTGGGAAGTGCATGATTGGTTCTCTCCACATGGTTAGAACCATCATCCATTACAAGAGGCAATATGAAATTAGATGCGATTTAAAAAACAAGCGAAATGCTTGCAGATCAAAGTCTAGCTTTAATTTTTGGTTTCTCAAGGTTTGCATTTGGGATGCAGAGCTGCGTGAGCTTCGTGCTGAATGCTATATAAAGGAAGGGGAACCAGGCAAAGCTATTAGTGACTTAAAAGCTGCTACCAAACTAAAGAATGATAACACTGAAGCCTTCTATAAAATCAGCACAATATACTACCAGTTGGGGGACCAAGAACTGTCACTAAGGTAAGTTTACTATTGTCTGTAATAGCAAAAATTAAAACATATGCTACAGTGAAATGCATAATCATTGAGTGTTAGAATTAGAGCAGACATTTTTGTCAACAGTCACTGTGTGGAAACACTCACTGAGCTATCTTTGTACAGTTCTTGTTTTGTTCAGCTGTGCTTTAGCACAAGAAAGGAGTGTGGAACTCTGCGTAAGTTGTACATTAATAATTGAAATAATCTAATAAAATTTGATGCTCAATGTCTCGTTATAGTTAGAGACTGTAGCTCCTCCACTGGCTCAGGCCTTGTCTCCACTTACCGGGAGATCAGTGCTGTGAAGATTGATCTCCTGGGGGGGAGGGTCTATTTAGTGGGTCTAGTAAGATCTGCTAAATTGACTACTGATTGTGCTCCCATCAACGCTGGTACTCCACCTAGTCGAGAGGAGTAAAGGAAGTCAATGGGAGAGTTTCTCCCATGTACCTCCTGCAGAAGGAACACCAAGGAAATTCAAACTAAGATTTGTCAACTCCAGCTACACTATTCACGTAACTGGAGTTGTGTATCTTAGTTTGACTCTGTCACCTAGCATAGACCTGGCCTCAGAAAAAGCCAGTGAGTCTGCCAAACAAAAGAAAATGGGCACTGTGAAACAGGAAGAAAGGAAGAATAAGTAAAGAAGAGTGGGCAGCCTGGCCAAGAATGAACTGATCTAAATACAGCTGAAATGCCTTCCACAGGACTACACAGGGCTCTTGCAAATATATTTGGAGAGTGTTTCTCATGGAAAACTCTAATCATGTGGATACAGATGAGACTTGGAGTTAGAATCGGGAGGCTGTTCAGATGGTCTCAACTGTTTTGAAAAGAGCAGGGTCATTGAAAACACTTTTGGGTTTAGATATCAAAGACTCAGTATACTATCAACAAATACTTTGCTTTTCATGCCATCTGGGTGTTCTTCTTTCTTCTAGTCCCCAGATCTTTCTAACCCTGTCTGCCTGACTTGTACTCAGATTGACGTTCATTCAGACTAAGTTTGGCTAGAGTTCAGCCTCTGTATTTTTACTCTGAATTCAGGGCAGTGAGAAGGCAATGTCTGTTGCTTTCACTCACATAACTCAAGCTGGATAGAGGGCATCATTAAAATCTTCTGGAAGAGAACCTGCCCCCTGCTATTTGTGTCACCGTACCTTTGCTGAAAAGCAACTGCTGACTCAGAGATGGGGAAAATTGAGAGAATAGGGGATTGCACGTTACTATCCTGAGTTGTCCTTTTAGGTTTTTCTCTCTCCTCTCATTACTTTACATTGCCAGAAAGGAGGGGAAGAGGAAAGCTCCAATTCAGGCTGATGTTTCTCATTACATTTCACACAATAATATACTTTTGAGTGGAAGCGATAGAATGCAAATGCAGAAAAATCTGTCACTTCAGACAGCTTTTAAAAAATGTCTACTTCTATTTGAAATTCCTTAATGTTTCTTTTTCCTACATGAAAAGTGAAGTCCGAGAGTGTCTGAAACTTGACCAGGACCATAAGCTGTGTTTTTCTCACTATAAACACGTAAAGAAACTTACTAAGCAAATCGAGTCAGCAGAGGAACTCATCAGAGAAGGCAGGTAAGAGCACCAGCTATGTACTGAATGCTACCATTGCTAGTAAAAGCAGTAAAACTCCCCAGGTTTGGAGACAGTTTGTGTTTGTCATGTGGGATGGAACACTGGACATGGCCATTAGAACATACCAACACATGTGTACTATTAGTAGCAGCTGTTTCTTCTAATTTTTACCTGCTTCTTGTCCCAGTTTCCTCCCTTACTCTCCATGGCCTATTGCCATTTTAGTTTGTGCTTTGCATGAAATAATTATAAGGTCAAGGCATGGACAACACTTGTATTCATCTCTCAGGTTCCATAGCACTGGATACTGTACCTAATTAATAAAGATCAAATGCTACTGTAAATTGTTCCAGGTGTACCAAGCAAATGGGGCTGCTAGCATTAAATGTGCTGGATAGTCTTTTTCTAAATTTCTGCACCTTGCTTCTCAGTTTTGTATGTTTTATTGTGAAGCACATAACCATAGTTGTGCCAGGTGCTATGTACAGCAATAGACTGGAGGTAGCTTGTCATTATTTATCTGGATTTCAAATGTGGTGGTGTCGCAGATTTTTATTTTTTTTCTTTAGCTTGGGAGGATGAAATGTATTGCACATTTAAGTATATTTCTTATATTTAGTGGGTTGTATGAAGGAAAACTAGTATGCTTTTCAGTATTGCAAAAATGAAAAAAGTAAAATTTGATCAGAAGAGTTGCTGATAAATATTTTAAAAAATCAATAAACTTTTGGAGTAATTTTATTGGTTTACTGTGTGGCCTGTCTGGAAAGCTTTATGTGGTTATTCTTCTCACCAGTAAATTCAAATGTCAAATGTTAGTTTGTGTTAAATGTTGTATTTTTTTTTAAAAGTATATCATTGCATCAGTGTTCAAAGTGAAGATCACAGCTTATTTGCAAATAAAATATCACTGCAGCCTCTAAATATATTTTTGCTGAGTTTGTCATGATTTAGGAAGCAAGGAAATAACATCTAGGAAAGGGATAGAAAATAAGACCCAGAATATCTTACTGCCCCTGTATAAAACTATGGTACGCCCACATCTTGAATACTGTGTACAGATGTGGTCTCCTCACCTCAAAAAAGATATTTTGGCCTTGGAAAGGGTTCAGAAAAGGGCAACTAAAATGATTAGGGGTTTGGAACGGGTCCCATATGAGGAGAGGCTAAAGAGACTGGGACTTTTCAGTTTAGAAAAGAGGAGACTGAGGGGGTATATGATAGAGGTCTATAAAATCATGAGTGGTGTGGAGAGGGCTGATAAAGAAAAGTTATTTATTAGTTCCCTAAATAGAAGAACTAGAGGACACCAAATGAAATTAATGGGTAGCAGGTTTAAAAGGAATAAAAGAAAGTTCTTCTTCATACAGTGTGTAGTCAACCTGTGGAACTCCTTGCCAGAGGAGGCTGTGAAGGCTAGGACTATAATAGAGTTTAAAGAGAAGCTGGATAATTTCATGGAGGTTAGGTCCATAAAAGGCTATTAGCCAGGGGATAAAATGGTGTCCTTGGCCTCTGTTTGTCAGAGGCTGGAGAGGGATGGCAGGAGACAAATCGCTTGATCGTTGTCTTCGGTCCACCCTCTCTGGGGCACCTGGTGCTGGCCACTGTCAGTAGACAGGATACTGGGCTAAATGGACCTTTGGTCTGACCCAGTACGGCCGTTCTTATGTTCTTATCTTCCAAGGCTCCAGTAGTTATACATGTGAGGTGCTCAAAACTTTTTCTTCAGGATACTAACACACACGATAAACAACTCTGATGGGATCCCAGCCTCAATTTATCCTTACCTGAGACCAGCTCATTATGAGGCGCATAGAGATAACGTTTGTGCTCCAAAACGTAGGCACTATGTGAATGGCTAGGGATAGAATGGAAACTTTGAGCCTCCACTTTTTGTTTCCAAAAACACAACAAAACAAAAATCTTACATTTCAGACAAATTTAGTTTATGGGCATTTAAAAACATGGGCATTTAAAAACATAGACCTTAGTTCAGCCCTTTATGCTGTAGAGAGACACGGGAACGATAGTCTCTTTCTCTCTTGCCTCATTTGAATTGCTTACTGAATGATGCTTTCATTTTGGATTCTTCCTGCTTGTGAATGTATGCAAAGGAGCTTGTTATGAACAGTGCAGAAAGACAAGTCATTGGAAACGTGATTTAATAAAGTTATGACCAGTTAAGTAACACATCTGGGAATTGCCTAGCAATAACTTGTCCAGTTCAAGTCATTGTTCCTGTGTAATCTGTTCCATCTAGTCGTGACGGGCCATTGGCTCCCTCAACTAACCTGATCCCAGCCCAGAGCTAAAACCACCTGCCTTACCCACATGTGAGATTTAAGGTGGTGTGAAAAAGGGTGTTAACACCTCACTGTGTGGGACATTAGGAGCCCCAACTCCATCCACCACCTTCTTTGGGAAATGCCTTCTTCTAATTACTTCAAATTCCACTTTTATCAGGGAACTAGACCCACCCCCCATTAAAAGAATCCCTACACTGGGCACCTGCTAAGTTGTGACAGTGTGAATTTTACAACTTAATCTACCCACTGGGTCCTGGGATGCTGAGAGAGGCAAAAAAGTCCTACTCCCCAGGGCTCACTGGAAGTGAGGGAAAAAAATCCTTAAATGATACCTATAGCAAGGTCCCAAAACTTTCTCTTCCTCCAGCCAAAGGCAGGGAAGGAGGAACTTTTCTTTTTAGTGCTGGACAACACTCCCAGGCTGGAGGGGGTAGAGGGGGGAGGCCTATAATCCTTCCTCTTTTGGTGTGTGGGAGCTGATAGGTTTGTGCTGCATGCATATCTACATCCAATCAGCCAAAGAGACCCCGCCTCTACCTCTTCTCAAACCCACAAGGGAGGGAATGGGGCTGCAGTCCTTAAAGGGGCTAAGGGTTTTCTTTCTCCTGCTGTTCCAGACACAGCCTCTGAGGCGGAGAGGGGCATTGCAAGAGACATACATCGTCCCAAACAAAACAAACCTCCCAGAGACAGTTTCCAGTTTCTTGGTATGAGTTTAGTACATTTAATGACCACTGAGGAATTGATACAGTTGTTTGGAAAATAATTGTGTTCCAGAATACTCAGTTTATTTTCACAATTAAAATAGGTACACAGATGCCATCAGTAAATATGAATCTGTAATGAAAACTGAGCCAAAGGTCCCTATTTACACTACTCGTGCCAAAGAAAGGATCTGTCACTGCTATTCAAAGGTAAAAAAGAACATTTTTTACCCTTGTGAGTAAGTAATATTTCACAAGGAAAACAAATGCAAACAGTGTCTGCCCTTTCCTTTTTCAGAATGAGCAATCTGCTGAAGCCATAAAAGTTTGCACAGAAGTTCTGCTGCAGGAACCAGCTAATCTGAATGCTTTAAAAGACAGAGCAGAAGCCTATTTATTAGAAGAACAATATGAGGAAGGTAACACTTTTTTATTTATGGTTTCAGACTTTAAACAACACTAGAGAAGTAACTCTCCCAGAACGATAAGGAACTTCTGTTTCAGTGTTATTGGAAATCTTGACAAACGTTTGGATGCTACAGGATGCTGATACTTCTGATTTTTTTAAACTGAATTGTTATTAAGATAGGCACTACATACCAATCTTTATCCTATACAAAGTTGTCTTAAAATGTACGATGAATTAAGGGCATTTCAAGGCTTGTATACAAGACACATCAAAGCATGCCAGAGGAGTATGATTAATGTGGTTTACAAATATGCTGCACTCTTAACTGCCCCATTTGGGCTTGCTGGCAAATACTCTGAAAAATACCAGGACTACAGTAATGCAAATGAGGCGTTTTTACAGTACACCGGCAGGGTCTATACAAGGCAATTAAAGCATTTTACAAATCATACCCCACTACACTGCTTTGCTGGTGCTATGTAGACAAGTCCTTAGATAGAAGTTTGATGTGACACATTAGAGAGAGTGCAAAGTCTTGAAAGAAGAATGAGAAGAAACTGGAGTATTTGAAACTGACAAGGGCACAGAGGAACTGACTTACTCCTTTCTTTCTTTTTAGCCCGTCCCCAGTATGAAATAAGGGTACACTATGAAATTATATGGCACAGATTGGACCTCCCCAAACCAGGAGACTCTGGTCTGGCAACATCTGTGCTCCAGGGTGTCTTGACTAGGAGCCCAGTGGCAGGAGGGCCAGCAGCTGGGATACCTTCCAGGCTGGGAGCCTGGTGGGGCTGTCAGCAGTGGGGCTAGGGCTGGGACTGGAGCCGAAGCCCCAGCCCCAGCAGTGGAATCCCAGTAACAGAGTTGGGACTGGGGCTGCGGTAGCCCTGGTAACCCAGCAGGCAAACCAGGAAGGCGGCAGACCATCAGCAGAGCCAGGGATATGGAAGCCCAGCAAGAGAGCTGGATCATGGCAGCCCAGTGTGTGTGTATGTGTGGGAGCTGATATTGCTGGACCGGTGGAGGTCTCCTGCTACCCAACTCCCAGCCCACAACCCCTCCCTGTTGCCAAATTCCCTCGATCAGGACTAGTCAGGTCCTGAGGGTTCTGGGCCAGAGTGGTCCAACCTGTAATCTAGAATGATTAATGAGAAATGTTTGATGTCAGCCTATGGAATTCACTGCCACTGGAAATAGTTACTGATGATGGGTTTTTAACAGATCTATATAATTTTATAGCCATTAATAACATTTGAAGCTATGCAAAAGGAAGTAATAATAATAAAATTTCGTAGCTTGGAGATCTAACTTCGGGGGGGGGGGGAGGGGAAGCCTGAAGAAATTCCAGGGGGGATTGTGAGGTGACCCAGCCTCCCCCCATCAAGTTTTGCTGTTCAGTTCTGTTTTTTTTTCCTCCCCCCACCTCAAGTTTTGCTGCTATTTTGGGGTAGGGGGGGAAGCATGACGGTTTTTCAAAAATCAAAAAGGGGGGCATGATGCCAAAAAGTTTGGGAACTACTGCTTTAGTGAATAGAAGGTCCCCATGGCACCACTCCTTCAAATATAGCACAGATTTACCTGAGCATGCGTAGAACTAACATTTCCTACATCTTCCATAGATCCATAGAAAATTAGTGTTGGACGAGACATCAGGAGGTTATTTAGTCCAACTCCTTGCCCAAAGCAGGACCAACCCCAGCTAAAACATCCCAGCCAGGGCTTTGTCAAGCCTGCCCTTTAAAACCTCTAAGGATGGAGATTCCACCACCTCCTTAGGTAACCCATTCCGGTGCTTCATCACCTTCCTAGAGATACAGATTTTCCAATTAGCCAACCCACTGCAGCTTGAGACCACTGCTCCTTGTTCTGTCCTCTGTTACCACTGAAGATAGCCTGGCTCGATCCTCTTTGGAACCTCCCCTCAGGAAGTTGAAGGTTGCTATCTCATCCCCTCCCCATTCTTCTGCAGCCAAAATAAGCCCAGTTCTCTTGGCCTTTCCTCATAAGTCATGTGCCCAGTCCCCTAATCATTTTCTTTACCCTCCAGTGGGTGCTCTCCAGTTTGTCCACATCTTTTCTGCAGTGAGAGAGGGGGCCAAAACTGGACGCAGTACTTGAGATGCAGTCTCACCTGATACACTGAATAGAGGGGAATAATCACTTTCCTTGATCTGCTGCCAGTGCTCCTATTAATGCAGCCCAATATGCCATTAGATTTCTTGGCAATAAGGGCACTGTTGATGCGTAGCCAGCTTCTTGTCTATAGTAATCCCGAGGCCCTTTTCTGCAGAACTACTTAGCTAGTCAGTCCCCAGCCTTGTAGCAGTGCTTGGGATTCTTCTGTCTTAAGTGCAGGACTCTGCACTTGTCCTTGTCTGCATCAAATTTCTTTTGGCCCAATCCTCCAATTTGTCTAGGTCACTCTGACCTTATCCCTACCCTCCAACATATCTGCTTCTCTCACCAGCTTAATATGATCTGTGAACTTGCAGACAATGCAGTCCATCCCATCATTCAGATCACTATAACACGGGGGTGGGCAATAAAGCAGCAATGGCCTCTGCAGGTATCACTGATCCCAGGTCCTGTTCACTGCAAATTGCCATTCCCAGCCAATGAGAGTGGTGGGAAGCTGTGTGGCCTGGGACACCGCTTCCCACAGCTCCCATTGGTTGGGAACAGTGATCCTTCCTGGATGCTGCTGAGTATATATCCCCAGAGATGTCAAAGTTGCCTTAGGATCCTTAGGCCCATAGAGCCTACCATGAGTTTGTTCCAAAAAAGAATGAGGACCCTTCAAAGGGGAGACTTTGGAGCATTTCTTGTATTGTCCAGGGGAAAAAGCCGGTGACCGCAACCGTGAACAACTGTGTGTGGTCACTGCTGGGGCCATAGATCTGGCCAAAGAATCAGCCACATCCAGGCCACCCACTTTACTAAGCCTTGTGGTCATTTCCGAGAAGGAACACACCACTGCTGTGCTTTATACTGACTCTGGAGCCAATCTGACAGATGCTATGAGGGGAAAATGTTCCGGAAACTGTGCTCAGGGCCCACTCGCCTCTGCACTGGAATAGAAATGTGCAAGTACTCAAAGGAGAAAATGTTTGAAATAAAACAGGTAGTTGATAGCGGTGTACTGTAGATGCTCATGTAAAGATGAGCAATTTGTTACACCAAGTCTGTAAAATACATTTGTTAGAAATTAATGATGGGGCATACCCTTTTATGTTCTATAGAGCAGATTAAGTACAGTGGTGCTTAGCATTATAGGGCCAATAAAACAGTGTAATGGAGAAGTCCTTGCATTATCCCCATCATTATCCCCATCAGATACAGTAGTGTATATATTATGGGCATGCACTGGTATAACCTGCTGTGTTTTTAAGTGACTGGACAAAGTATTACAAAGGCCAGCAACAGGCAAAATGCTTTGTGTTAAGTGACAAATCAGTGGGACTAGCAGATGATCTAGCCATACAAGAATGAATAGAAATCTTATTTGTGCTTTGTTTGTAAAAGAGAGTGTGAATTACTGGGGCATCAGAAGTATTCTTTCTAGCTTTTGTCCTTGAATACCTTACTTGAAGAAATCACACTATTGTCAAGTGTCTAATATAAATTAGCTAGCACCCCCTGCTATCTTGCACAGAAACAGCAAAAAGATAAATGTAACACCTGCTGAGAAATAACATCTGCTTGAAAATAATCTTGATGCAAAGATTTGTCTTATTTAGGAAATGTAAGAGACTTAGACTTATAATGAGACTCTCAAGATCGTAACACAGTGAAGGGGAAAGTGCTCATTACATATAAAATGCAAAGCAGGGCCTATTGATGAATACTAACATTTGAGGTCTAAGTATTTCACTTATTACTTTATGACAATAATAAAATTTCGTATGGAGAAATGCTTTATTCTTCTACGGGAAAAAAATCAAATCTAGACAGAATACTTTTAGTGCCCCAGTGATTCGACACGCTATCTCTTATGAACTAAGCACAAAACAAACTGCATTCTGTTCCTGCCTCTTCAAAATGCCTTATCCCTTTGCACAAAGTCATTACAGTGTTTTGCTTGTTTATGTATCTGATAAACACTGCATGCTGTTGAAATAAAAGCAGTATTCATATGATGAAGTAGATTCCAAGCAGAAGCATATACATTATGTATGAGATTTAAAAGCACAAATTTTATTTGTGCACTATATTGTTTCTTCCTAAACAAATATAATAGTATGGTATGTAAGTGTGGGTATAGATTTCAGATGATTAGGTGTTCTGTTGTCATAATAAAACCATATAATAGGGAGCCTTGTAGCAAATGCTGCTTGGGCACCAAGGGCTGAAAACAATTCTACATTGAAAGCAGGTTTTGTGTAATGCAACCTTCCAAATGCACTGAGTATTTGAGGCCAGTGTTGTAACTGCAGTGGTCTCTCTTTCCATTGCTGATTGTTGCAACCTGCCTGTCTCTTGCTGTGTACATCCTAGCTACAAAATGTTCTCCTTATGCCTCTGCCTCTTGGTATACATTAGTCTGCTTGATTGATGAAGCATTCTTCAGCGTTATGTTCCCCATGTCAGTATTTAAGGCCAGGCATACAAAGGGATTTAAGTGCTGCTGAGATCCATAATCTCCTGCTTGGCTGCTGCCTAATCTCATAGGCATTTAAACTCACTTGGTGCCTAAATTTTTATTGTAAAAGTCCCCAACATAGCTGTTTGTGCCTTTGTGCATGCACACAGCTTTCTCATTCTAGGCACCTGGACGAAGTCCCAATATGAGCCACAAATAGATAAAGACAGGCGTTCTTCCATCTTTCTTGCCTACAGGGCCCAATCGGCATGCTTACAGTATTGCTATCACATGGAAAGCCCATTTAAAATCAAAGATTTGGACATTTGGTGCTGTAGTAATAACTGGGCCCACAGATTTGCCCTAATTGTAAACTCAGCTAAAGTAAGTAAAAGTTAATAAATATCATTGTAACTTATAACAATAAATGTCGGGGGTGGGGGTAAACAAAAAGATCTATTAATATAACTTGAAGCCTGTGTTAAAATAATTCCTAGCAAACAAAAGAAGTGTGAGACCAGAAATAAGGCCTAACTGATGAACAAAATAATAAAAGCCCAGTCTTTCACCTACCATTCTCTTTTGGACCCCAGCCTAATACGTGTGAAATCCAGCTCCTTCATGTCCCTTTCTGTCTCCCACTCACTTCCTCCTCTCCATTCTCTGCTTTTTACCTGATCCTGAAATCAGCAGTGCTATGTAAGATGAGATGGTTCATCCAGCTATGTTCAACCTAAAAAGGACCAATAAGGAAAGGGACCTGGCCAGACCAACCAAATGGTGTCTCTGTCCAGCCAGATGACTTGGGGTCCAGAGCAGCAGCTGTTGTGATTGACCTGGTAGCCTGAAGCACCTGTCCATGACTCTTCTGCGGCCCTGTATCCTGAGAACATCCACAAAAGTATATTTTCTCCATCTTTGCCATCCTGTTTCCTCTCTTCCGTGTCTTTTTTGTCAGAAGCAAGAAGGTGACTCATTTCAGACTTGACTGAGAGACAGTTCGTTAAACTTCCCCTCTAAAAGGGATTGTGTAAGAAAATCAGACTTTAACCAGTACTCATCCTTCTAAAAATTTTAATACAGAGGTCTCCAGCCACAAAAGTATATTTTCTCCATCTTTGCCATCCTGTTTCCTCTCTTCCGTGTCTTTTTTGTCAGAAGCAAGAAGGTGACTCATTTCAGACTTGACTGAGAGACAGTTCGTTAAACTTCCCCTCTAAAAGGGATTGTGTAAGAAAATCAGACTTTAACCAGTACTCATCCTTCTAAAAATTTTAATACAGAGGTCTCCAGAGTGGGGGGGGGTGTGTGTGTGTGTGTGTGTGTGTGTGTGTGTGTGTGTGTGTGTGTGTGTGTGTGAGACAGTAGACAGTGCTGTGAGGAGCTCAGGTGAGAAATTTGATACAGAGAGAGGAAAAAAGTGTGTGTGTGTGTGTGTGTGTGTGTGTGTGTGTGTGTGTGTGTGAGAGAGAGAGAGAGAGAAGCTGGGGGGGTATAGCTGAGGCCCAGCTCCCATAATGGGTTGGGAGGGAGCACTGTCCAGCACTCAGGGATCTGGCTGCTGGCCCTAGATGCTTCTCTTTTACTCCTGTCCACATCCCCTTTCCAGAAGGTGCAGCCCCACTCGTGGCTCTTGACGGGGCATGGAAAGGGAAGAAGGTTGGGGACCACTGCTGTAAAAGGTTCTGATAGTTTTGTATTGTCACTTAGTTTTACTTTTTGCCTCTTTTTATTTATTTAAAACATCTCTGACCTTTGGCATGAATTTTCTAATGTTTTCCGTGGTAGTGAGGATTCTGAGTTCGCTCTATACCAAACGTTATCTATTATTGTCCAACAGTGTTAGTATCATGTTAACACTTTTTACTTTCTGGCCCATATATTCTAGCTACATTAATACAAGAGTCCCTCCCTTATAAGTGTTACCCCAGTGCTCAGAGCACACACTTGGGAGGTGGAAGCCCTGCGTTCAGTTCCCCCCTCTCTACCTGATAAGGAGAAAATCTTTGAACAGAAGTCTCCCACCTCCCAGGAGAGAACCTTACTCATTGGATTACTTGATGCATGTCTTCCTCCCTTTCTCCTGTGGAAGGTATTACACTGGGGAATATCACCTCTGACCTTTCTTGCAAGGCACCTATGCTGAGTGCATCGCAGGCACCTCCTGCAAGCTGGACTTAGGCACCATGCCCTGGGTAGGGGTGAGGCTTAGGACACACCCCTTATTTCCCACGGGCGAGTTCCCTGCCTTGCATGCTGGTTCTTGTGAGCTCCATTTTCAGATGCCTGTCTTGCCCTCTGCGTTGCACAGAAGGCTTAGGCTTTGTGGATTCCTATGCTTTTTTTAAAAGTTGGCTGTTGCTATACTCAGTGTTGTAACACCCAAAGTCTTTTGAGGATTTGGGCCTTAAATTTTGTGGTCAAGTCATCCCTTCCTTATCTTTCTTCTTCAAGTGCTTCTTCACATTGATTCCAATGAGATGTACACATGGCACGTGCACGAGCATCAGAAACTTTTCTCCTAGCAGCTCCCGTAGGGTTGGCTGTGGAGACTCCTAGAGTGGCACTTCTATATCAGCACATATATACAGGCTCCTGTCCTCCCTCAGTTCCTTTTTACTGTCCGTGACAACGTTGGAACAGCCTAGCTCTTGCCTTGGCAAGTATCTAGTCTCTAGCTTTAGCACTTTATCATCTTCGTTAACTGTTGCAGTTTCAGCATCAGCAGAAACAGTGGGTAAGCGTGCAAGAACTGTAGCGCCTCCAGAGCGCTGGGGCATGCCTAATGTCCCGGGCTTTAAATCATGCACAGTTTGTAAGCACCCAGTGTCCAATAGTGTTCTGCACAATGCATGCCTTCGCTGTTTGGGTGAAGAACACTGCACTGAGAAGTGCAAAATTTGCAGAAGCTTTAAGCCCTGCACCAGAAAGGACCGGAACTATAGACTCCAGCAGCTCCTTGTAGAAGCAGCACTAAAACCCCCCTCAGGCCAAGAAATCTCAGGCAAATGGAGCCAGCTCGGTGCAGAGCACTGTAGCCTCTCTGCGTGATAATGTGCAGAAACCGAGCGTGACCAAAGACTCCTGGTGCCAGAGGATATTCCCTGGAGTTTGCATCCCTCACCTCCTCACCATCCCTCTTCAGGGACCTCTCTCATGAGCATCTCCTGCAACAGGAGGCCCGATTGCTCCTCGAAATAGGAGCAATACAAGAGATCAGTCAGAGGTAGGGGTTTTTATTCTTGTTACTTCCTTATTTCAAAGGCAAAAGGCCTTTGGTCTAAGACCAATCTTAGACCTGAGGAATCTCAATCGCTATATGCGGAAGCTAAAATTCAGGATGGTCACGTTAGCCTCAATAATCCCTTTCCTGGATCCGGGAGATTGGTTCACTGCCCTCAACATGAAGGATGCATATTTCCACATCTTAATCCTTCCATGTCACAGGTGTTACCTCAGATTTATGATACAGAATGAGCACTATCAGTTTGCAGTAATGCCGTTAAGCCTTTCTTCTGCCCCACAGGTGTTTACCAAATATATGGTGGTGGCTACAGCCATATTTTCCCATACTTGGACGGGAATTGGTTGCTGAAAGTGACCTCCAGAGAATAGCTCCATGTGCATGTAGACCTCATGCTAGAGCTGTGCGGAGCCCTGTGCATCCTCCTCAACAGGGAGAAGTCAGTTCTGAGTCCAGTGCAGAGAATAGAGTTTATAGGGGTGACCCTGGACTTGACCAAGGGAAGGCTTTTTTGCCTGACCCCGCCTTCCATTTCAGGCAATATGGTATTTGGCACTGGGTGAGGGTGTATGCCCTGTCATAACTGCAAGGATGTGCCTCAGACTCCTAGGTCACATGGTGCCGTGTTGCCATGTGATCAGATATGCGCATCCCTCCAGCACTGGCTTGCCATAGTCTATGTGCGCACATGAGACAGTCTCTACCACCTTGCGGGGGATAGACACCACCACATCTAGCCTATCGACTGGTGGATGAACCCGCTGAATTTGGTGAGTTAGGCCTTGCCTATTCTGGGCTAACCAGGGAACCCCCTTAGCATAGACAAGATTTACATAGAGCAGTGTTTCTTAAACTGTTCCGTGGCAGTCTGAGGTGTGCTGCGGAGAACAACAGAGTTAAAAATGGCCGCCCTTAAAGGGGCAAGCGACCTTTTTTGTTTTGTTTTTTTTTTTTTGTTCCATAAAAAATCCTTGGTGTTCCTCATTTTAAAAAAAAATTGGCGTTCCTCGGTCTTAAAAAGTTTAAGAAACACTGACATAGAAGCTCTGAAACAAATTGTGAAGCCTTAAAGGGATTCCAAAGTGAATTAAGAAACCATGGGGACGTAAAACAATGAACTTCATTGAGTAGGAGTCAGAACACATTTCTTATCTCAGGCTTACAAATACCAAGGAAAATATGAACAAAATTAGAAGACTTCACGAAGCTTCAGCAATTAGTTTTGTTGCTTACAAATAATAGTGGCAAAAGATCTGAGTTCCAGGAATAGGGCGAGTACTTAGTCTAAACAGAGTGATTTTTTTTTTTTTTTTTAAATAAGGTTGATTTAGTGAGGTGTATAATAGCTTATGCTCTTGCATTCATTTTTATGGGCAGCTATTCAAGATTATGAAACTGCTCAGGCCAATAGTGAAAATGACCAACAGATTCGTGAAGGCCTAGAGAGAGCCCAGAGGATGTTGAAGCAATCTCAGAAGAGAGACTACTACAAAATTTTAGGAATAAAAAGGTGAGATTAATGTCCAGAATGTTTTCATGTAGGCTGTCATTAATCAAATAGTCAGTTTGCCACTTGTATTTAGGCTTTTTTGGGTATGCTTCCCTATTCTATCTCCCTTCCCTTTAAAATTGTTTAGATTTTAAAATGGTCATAAGTTTGCGGGGGGGCCTAAGTAGCATTTGCTCAAAAAGTCTCCTAATAAGGAATAAAAGAGTGCTAGCAGACCATAAACAAGGAAATGATCCATCATTAGCAAATAGTTCCAAATATAATGGTGCAAAGAGGTAAGCAAACTGTTTGGGAAACCAAAGGACAGAAGAGAATTATGGAGAGAAGAAAAAGTAAAATTCATAGCAGAGACCACAGTAGCTTAGGACAGTTGAAGGATACTTGCTGGGAAAATCCTTGTAAATATCTCCTAAAACCTCACTTCCGTTATGGGCCTGATAGAAACAATGATTTCTATCAATGATTGTTATATTTAAAAAAAAAAATCCTGTCATGCACATGCCTTACTATTCTTCTGTTGGTGACCTAGTCCTCCTTTCTTCTTTCAGTTTTGTGTTTGACTCTGTCGTCTCTGAATCTGTTGTACACTCTTCAGTTCAGAGACCTAAAAAAAGTGAAACTGTTGAACACCAAACATACTCTTGAGTCTTAATAATAACAATTAATTACTTAATTATGAGCTTTGCAGTGAAAGTAAACTTAAAGTTTAGGTTTGTTTTACTTACAATTGCAACCTGTTTTCTGCTGTTCTTATTAGAGGAGGCCAGTATTGTCTGAGAAATCTGGACTGGCAGCAGCAATATCTAAGCTAGAGAATATTTAGTTTGCTTGGGGCTTGTTAATCTGTGTTAGTTCCATATTTCTAACTGTATTGCAGACTCATCAGTGTGGCACATGAACAATTAGAAACTTTAATTTTAGAAGTAACTTAATTTTCTTCTTCCCCAGAAATGCAAGAAAACAAGAAATCATAAAAGCGTACAGAAAGCTAGCATCTCAGTGGCACCCCGATAACTTCCAGAATGAAGAGGAGAAGAAAAAGGCAGAGAAAAAGTTTATTGATATAGCAGCTGCTAAAGAAGTACTGACTGACCCAGGTATTGATTACATTTGAACAGTGGTTCTTTTCAGAATAATGGATGGAATGAACATAACTCTGCTGTCCATTATGACTTACTTTTGTCACATGATTTGCCATGAAATGACGACACAAGAATATCACACTATGTTAATGAATCATCTAAGAACCGAAAACAGTCTTCAAACACACACCATGTACTAAATGAAAATAGGGAAGCTAGCCATTGTAAGCTACTGGTAACTTTGTTGGTTTGACAAGAAGGTCATTATTTACCTGCACAATACAAAATCCACTGAATTGCTAAATCCACATCATAGCTTTTTCTGTTTGTAAATTACAATGTCTCCATTGGCCAAGATAGGGAAATAGAGGGTGAGCTATAAGTGGGCTCCCAGGTCTGAGGGGGGAGGAGTAGGCATGCTGAAACCATTGAATGGCATGAGAACTATAATGGAGCTGTTAGGTTAATCCTAGCGTTTACAAGCGCTATCTTAGGGGTGGGCAATACTTATTGATGGGGGGCCACTCCACAAATTTGGAAAGTGGTCGAGGGTTGCACTCCTTCATTATATTAATGGAGGAGGTGCAGGGGTCTGGGATGGAGGTTGGGTGCAGAAGGGAACTTGAGGTAAGGGATTGGGTGTGGGGTTTGGGTGAAGGAGGGAATGGTGATCTGGGGCAGTGGACTGGGATGAGGAGGAGTTACAGAGTCTGGGAGGGGAGTGTGACCTGCATAGGATTGGAGGGGTTTGGGTTGTGACCTGGGATAGTGGATTGGAGTACAGGGTCTGGGAGGGGTATGGGTGCAGGAGAGGATTTTGGTCTGGGGGAGGAGTGTAGAAGGAGGGAATGGAGGGCCTAGGAGGGTGTTGTGACCTGGGGCATGAGTGGAGGGGGTGCAGGGAATTGGGCTGTCACCAGGGATAGCAAATTGGGGTGCAAAGTCTGAGAGGGGGTTGTGGCCTGAAGAGGGCTGTAGGAGAGGATGCAGTTTCTGTGAAGGTGTATATGGGCTGGAGCAGGGGTGCAAAAGGTTGGGTTACATGTGGTAGGGGGAGAGACTTTCACATAGCTACCAGCCACTGTTTGTGCAGACCTAGCAGCAAGTAAATACATTTTCTAGCTAATAAATCAGTTTGGTGAAGAATGGAATAATTGAATAGATCTTATGTGAAATTTCACATAAGATTTTTTTTTTTTCGTTTTTAGAAGGGGTTTTTTTTTTTAAGAGGGGAGAGGAGTTGGTGTATCACCTTTGCAAACTGCATTAAAAGGCTCTCGAGCACTCTCATATTAAACTGCTTGGTTAGGGTTCTCAGAAGCAGCATAAAGTGTTTAGATTAGGGCTGTCAAACCTTAAACATAGCAATTAATCATCAGTTCAAAAAAGTCATGCTTAATTGCAGTTTTAATCATTCTATTAATAGAATACCAATTTATTGTAAATAGTTTGGATGTTTTTCTACCTTTTCAAATGTATTGATTTCAGTTACAATATAGAATACAAAGTGTACAGTGCTCACTTTTATATTTTTTGTTAGAAATTTTTGCACTGTGAAGGAGAAACAAAAGAAACAGTATTTTTCAGAAGCTTCAGGGGGTAGCTGAATTAGTCTGTTACAGAAATTTTTTTTAATCTGGTAGCACTTTACAGACTGACTAAAACATATAGATGAGCTTTCGTGGGCACAGTTCACCTCACTTTCTACATTTCTAGTTGCACTTTCATGATAAAATGAGAACAGGTGGATTCTGCTTGATAATGATCCAGGATAGCAATATAGACCAATGCATCTTTATTTTCATCATCAAAGTCAGATGCCAGCATGGGGAGGTTTCGTGTGTTGGTTTGGGTTCTGTAGTATCCACATCAGAGTATTGCTCTTTTAAGACTTCCCCCCAGCACCATCACTGCAAGGGCTTGGGGGGAGGAGGGGAAGAGGCGTAGAGGGGGACTGGGTGTGAGCCCGGAATCAGCTGTCCTTGTTCGTGCCTGGTCCCTCTGCTGTGCTTGTGCTTTTAAAATGTATTAAGAGTTGCCAGGAAAAAGCACAAGCAGAAGGGAAAAAGCACAAGTGCAGCAGGGGGGACCGGGCGTGAGCCTGATTCCCAGCTCATGCCTGGTTCCACTGCTGCACTTCAGCCTTTCAAATGTATTAAGAGCCTGGTGGCTTGTAATACATTTAAAAGGCAGAGCAGCAGAGGGGTTAGCTCCCAGGACCGGGAGCTAACCCCACTGTGGCTCTGCGGTCTCCCCCCCATCAGCTAATTGACTAGTTGATGGAAATTCTATCGACTAGTCAATTAGCCCATTAAGCTCCATTTAACATCCCTATTCTGAAATCAAACAACATATACACTTCATATTCTGTTGTAAGTGAAATAAATATATTTGAAAATGTAGAAAAAAACCCAACACACTTATAGTTAATTAAAATTGATATAACTGAGCTTAACTGTGACTTTTTAAAAAAAAATTGTCACTTGAGTTAATTGCAATTGACAGCCCTACTTTAGGTACCTTTCATTAATATGTTTAAATCCCCTAGAATGCTTTGAAAACATCCGCTGTTTATAATAGATAAACGTAAGTCAATTTATCAGTACAACTAGACTAGCAAACGGCACTGGCAGTTTCTGTGGGAATGGATCCACAGACATGTCAGTAAATAAACCAAACTAATAGTTGTAGCTGTATGAAGTCAGGGACACTTTAAATCCACTTCTTATTTCTCTCTGTTGGCCAGTCAGAGGTACCAAAATACCCTTGATTAGTAGAATGCTTCTGTGATAAAGTGTGAAGTCTCTGTCCCTTTTTTACCATGCATGTCTATTTCCTTAGAAATGAGAAGGAAGTTTGATGCAGGAGAAGATCCACTGGATGCAGAGAGCCAACAGGGAGGAGGAAACCCTTTTCATAGAACCTGGAACACATGGCAAGGATTCAACCCTTTCAGCTCTGGAGGACCATTTCGATTTAAATTCCACTTTAATTAGAACCAAGACTAATTTTCACTGCTTTACATAACATTTTTATTTAAAAACTCTGTCCAGGATTCAAATACAATTTACATTTCACATATGTTGCCCTTACCTAAAGAGTTAGTTTATTAGACGAGAGCTAGCTCTTTATTACCAAAAGAAAAAAAAGGTTTTGCTGTGGTATGAATTTGTGGGTGGACCAGGATTTTCTGTTAGCACTAGTATATTTGTAGTAGTACATGCAGAAATCCTAAGTTCTGCTGAGGAAGAAACATTAAGACCCAAAAAAAACGTAAACACGGGCTTAAATCCTATCAAAGTCAGACACTTAAGCATGTGCTTAAAGTTAAGAACATTTTTAAATGCTCTTGGAACCAGAGCCTAATAGTTGTGTAAAAAGTTACTTTGTATATCAGTCTTTGTAGTCACAAATGAAAATATGAGTTACCATATGCAGGGTGATGATCTCTCTTTCAATATGCATACAGAGAAAGAATACTGACTTGACCAGCTGCTGCATTTTATTTTTTTATGTCACACTGATGCCATATAGAGTGAAGAGGCCACTGCAGATCAGATTTAATAAGTTTCTTTAAAATATTATTGTTACTGACATTTTGAAAATGCCTACCTACTTCCATTTGCTTGACAATCTGAAATCATTTGGAATGATATTTTTCAGTTATTATGGCATCTGTCAGACATGAAAGTTAAAAATTCCCTCATTTTGAACATTTTGCTTCTGAATGATACTTTAAATAGCCAGAGTTTCTTGACTGGTTTTGTGTTTTTGTACTTTTTACACAATACCTGCTTGAGATTTGAGCAGGGCAAATTAATGTGACATCTCCTTAAGTATGCAGCAGCTTACATCCGATTTTAATAAATAAGTAAAAATGTGTAAAAGGTAACTTCTACTAGAAGCAGGTGTTACCTAAACATATGTTGTTTCTCTGATTATACCACATATTTAAGTGTCTGAATGTAATTCTGCAGTCACATGGCGCTCAGAAGTGCACTTTGACAAGTCTTTGAAGTAAATGACCACATCACATCTTTACGTGTGTGCGAGGAGCATTACCAGGCTCGCTGGGAGTGGGGGAATAGCACTTTATGAGTGGGGGGTGGGAGTGACTCAGAAGCTGTTGCGAAAGGGGAAGGGGGTCAGTGTGGCAATGCTGACTCATCCCCAGGGAGTGGAAGGCCTGGGGAGTTGGAAAGGGGCAAGTCAGGTGGAAGAAGCCCCTTTTTTCTTTCTGGTACCAAGCAGAGTAGAACCCACCCTCCATCCTTTTGAGGTGGCAGAACACAGCAGGTGTGTTCAGGACCTGCTGTGATCATTGCACTAACCACTCCTCTCCAGGAGGACTGGAAAGGACTTTCTTCTCACCCCCCGATTGGCCAAGATGCAGTGGGTTTTTTTTACCTTCCTCACAGTGGGTTTAGAGGGGAGCTCTGTGATGGTGAATAGGGAGGGGATATAAGCTATGATATAAGGAGTTATGTAGGTGTGGGTGGATTCCAGTGCAGGTACTCCAGAGGCTGGATACATGGCTTGGTACAGGACTTTAAAAGGTATTTGTTAAAAGCGTTGGATTGGGGAGGAGGGTTAGTTGAGGGTCCTACAATTGGTACTGCAGCAAGCCAGACTCCTCCCTTCTTATAGCCCACTGTTGCCCTTGTTTCAGGCAAGTATGGTCAGGTCCCTGCAATGGGTTGGACTGGGGGGACCTAAATGGAGAAAGTGGGGAGCTAGTGGAAGTTCCCCGGTTAGATATTGAATGAACGTGCAGTTGCCTGCACTGTACGCTCTTCTTTGTGAAGCAGTCCCAGCCATCTGATAATTAAAGTTGCTGCCTGATTAAACCCATTCAAATGTCTCCGGTCTCTTTTTTTTTAGAATAGCAGGCCAGTGTTGTTTTCTTCCACTCAAGTTCATGATTAAACTGAGAACTTTGGTCCCTAATTTGTACAGTAAGTTTATTCTGTCAATTGTATTTTGCAACACCTTGCCTCCCAAAAATAAACCCAGAACAAAACAAACAGAAATGTTAGCCTCTACCTGAGCAAAATTATTTCTTGTCTAGAACTTTGATGTACATGGTTTCACATCTAATCTGATGCATTTGGCTTTCCTGGAAACATAAAGCTTTTCTCTTATACTGTTCTAAGATAATGTGGCCCATAGGTCCATTACCATGTGTAAACACAGTTGTTTGCCTTGTGTAATTGGGGTAGAAGTCTAAGTTGCTTTTATTTCAAGGTAACATCTAAAATAGTTTTTTTTTTCTACACAAATGAGTTAGCTTCAGTAAGCCCAACACACAGCATTGCTACAGAACACTGCACACTTTCTTTCACTGTACCCTCTCCAACTTTCATCTGTCTCCCCTATCCATGGGCCATGGCAGAGGGAAGAGAAAGTTACCTTAGGCAGTAAGATGGTTCTTTGACATGTGTCCTCCTTTGGGTGCTCCACTGTAGGTGTGCTTGCATCTCTCTGCTGTTGATCAAAGAACATTGGTAGCAGTATCTGTTAGCCCTATATATGCACTCTCTCTCCTTATGCCCTGACAGAAGGCTAACTCTCCTTAATTCCTTCTCTACTGAAGAGTCATTGACAAGAACTCTGAAGTAGAGAGGATGGTGAGTTGTGGATCACCCATAGGTATACCCATCTCAGAGAATCACCTTTACTGTATAAGGTGAATAACTTTCTTTTCTTTGAGTCGTCTCCCTACGGGTACTCTCCATGTTGTTGCTCTACCTATTTATGAGAAACAGAAATTCTTGAGGAAGATAACTGCTGAGACTAAATTTGTGGAGTGGGTTGATCTATTGGCCAGTTCTTTGAACAAGACTGTTGTGATTTTGGTAACCTGATGAACTTTGATGGAGCAGATTCTGAGGAGATAATCATCCAAGAAGGGCTAGATTGTAATGCTATGGGAACACAGGTGAGCAGCCACTACTGGGGGAACCTTGGTGAAAACCTTTGGAGCGGATGATAGACTGAAGGGGAGTACTCCTGTATTGATAGTAGTCTTGCCCTAGGGTAAATCTGAGGAACTGCCTATGGGATGGTAGAATTGAAAATATGCAGATAAGTGTCCTGAAGGTCAGGCTCAAAATGAGTCTCCTTGTTCCAATTCTGGTATAATCAATGCTAGAATGATCATGTTGCATTTTTGAGCTTTGACAAATTTGTTGAGTGTTCTGAGGCCTAGTAGGGCTCTCCAGCCTCTCTTCCTCTTAGTTACTAGGAAATAGAGTAACCAGGTTGTAGCCCCTGCCTTAGTAAAATAGAGTAACCATGTTGAGGGACTGGCTCTATGACTATTAAGTTGAGGTGATTTATTTCCTGACACAGTAAACTCTTTTGAAAAGGGCCTCTAAAGAGGGCCAGGGAAGGGTGTTGTGGAGTGGGGGAAAGTGAAATGGAAGGAATAGCGGATGGAATTGTGAATTATTTGCAAGATCCAGAGGTCCGATGTTGTGTTTCAGGTGTTGCAGAACACAGTATATTGGGGTAGGTTGGTGAGCTGTAGTGATTATGGGGAATGATCTGATACGCTCAACTAACATGTAGAAATTTACGTTTTAGAGGCACATGGCTGCAGTGCGGAAGGGTGTGCACCTGATGATTTGCAGCTGGGGAAGCTAAATTTATTTCCTTGAGGTTCATAAGAGTTGTCTGGTACTGAGAAGTATGGAATTTATGCTGGGATCGCAAATGAGCTTTTCTCTTTTGTTGAGCTGTGTATACTCCTAGGCTGTCTCTAAACTGGACAGTTTTTCCGGAAAATCAGCCACTTTTCCGGAAAAACTTGCCAGCTGTCTACACTGGCCGCTTGAATTTCCGCAAAAGCACTGACTTCCTACTGTAAGAAATCAGTGCTTCTTGCAGAAATACTATTCTGCTCCTGTTCAGGCAAAAGACCCTTTTGCACAAAGCTTTTGCACAAAAGGGCCAGTGTAGACAGCTCAGATTTGTTTTCTGCAAAAAAGGCAGCCATGCCAGTATAGACGCTCTCTTGCGCAAATACTTTTAACGGAAAAACATCCCTGTTAAAAGTATTTGGGCAAAATCATGCCAGTCTAGACGCAGCCCTAATGTGTGGAGAGTGGCCCTGAAATCTTTAAGGGTATGGAGTGACATGTCAGTCTTCTCTGCCAATAGCTTGGTTGCTTCAAAGGGAAGGTCTTCAATACTTACCTGCACCTCTGTAGGGAAGCCCAAAAGGTGTAACCACACATCACATTGCATAGTGACTGCCAAGAAGATAGACCAGGCCACTATATTGGCTGCATCAAGGGCTGAAGTATTGTTTTGGCTATCAGATGCCCAGCTCTGAAGGAAATGCTGCTGCCAGCAAATGCACAGAAGTAAGGGTAGAAATACAGGCAGTGCCTGGGTTACATACAAGATAGGGTCTGTAGGTTTGTTCTTATAATGAATTTGTGTGTAAGTCGGAACTGGTACATATTGTAGGGGAAACTCTAGCCAAACATTTCTCCAGAGCTCAGTTTTATTCTCCCACACCTCACTTCCCTCAGTCCTTTATTCTCAAGCTGAGGTGTCTGCTGAGAAAAGCTGCTCCGCGTCTCCCTGGTCTGCTGGGGGGAAGCAGCTAGTGCGGGGTTGCCTCACCCTGTTTGTAAGTAGGGATCCGATGTAAGTTGGATCCATGTAACCCGGGGACTGCCTGTACTGCAACCCCCACACAACTCCTTTTTGTGTCAGGACCTCTACAATACTGTGAAAATTCAGATTTAAATAGCTGAAATCATGACATTTACCATTTTAAAAATACAATGACCATGCAGTTGACCTAAATGGACTGTGAATTTGTGAGGTTCCCTAACTATAAAGCACACCAAACAAATCAATAAGAGAACTTTTGCTGTTGGCAGGGGGGCGTGAGGGTTTTTCAAAAATCAAAAAGGGGGTGTGATGCCAAAAAGTTGGGGAACCACTGTTTTAGAGCTTTAGTTTGTAACAAGTCAGCCTAGTGCCATTGGCAGTTTGGAGGAAGTCAGGGATCTTGTCCACACCAGATATCCCAGTGCTGGATGGGGTACTGATGGTGTCAAAGGGTTCAGTGCTTACCAGCAGCATTGTCTTACTGGAGTGCTCCCTACTGCTATCTTTATCTGGCAGTACTGTTGGCTCAGTGTGTCAATGCTGCCTGCTCCAGATCTTTGTGAGCGATGAGTGCTGGGTTTGGAATGTCTCTGTACCAGTGACACTCAGCATGCCAGAGATCTGTGGCTAGCTTAGGTATCATGCTGGGAAATCACTGGTCTGCAGGTGTCAACTCATATTCCCTGTATGTTTAGAGCTTTGGGGAAGGCTCTTACCTTCCAGATGACTCCTGGCATGGATGTAGGGAAGGTTTGACGGCTGCCTGCATGAAGATAAACTTCTGTTTCAATTCCTTGTCCTTTCGAGACCTGGCTCTGAGTTGTTGGCAGAGACCACACTACTGGGGAATGTGGCCTTCCTGGAGGCAGCATATGCAGCAAGAGTATTTTGCATCACAGAGATGGCCGCCTTGCAAGAGATGCACTTCTTAAAGTCTGGTGAACTGGGCATACCCTGTTGGGGGAAGAGGCCTCAAGGGGGAAAAAAAGGGGGGTGGGGGAATAATGGGTTTTTGTGTTTTGTTTTCAAGGAGAAAATGCTGAGGAGGCAAACTATTCAAAATGCTAATTAAGCTAAAGATTGCAACAGACCATGGCTAGCCAGGGCAATTGAGAAGGAACTGAGGGAAGGGGGGTTAGCACAGGTGCTGGTTAGCAGCGGCATGAGAGACTCTGCATATGCAGGTCTAAGGGATAGGGCTACCAAAGTTCTCCAATCAGCAACATACGGACACGTGCACACCTACCATAGAGCCCCCTTTGGGATGCTACTCAATACAGAATCCATTTTCCTAATTTAATCTTATTTTGCAGCATAAGCAGAATCTCTTGTGTATGTGTATCATTAAATGGGAAGGGGCACTAAAATATAACTTGAAGGGCCAAAGTTTAACATCTTTTATGATGAATGGGCCACATCTATTGATGCTATCTGTGGCACTCTAACTAGAAACCTGAAAAAGATAATTGTGTGTTGACATGCTGTGGAAACAAGTATGAAGGGTGCAAGATTTTTCTAACAGACTTCATTTTGGGGGGGCAAAGTAGAATAGAACATTGCCCATGGCTTCTATTTATCATTGTGAATGAGCCAACAGCCTGAGCAGTAGAAAGAGGTAAATAGAATTCCATGATTTTAATGCTGTTCATTAGTCCCCCTTATTGTTAGGGAGAAGTAGACTAGAAAGGCTGAGTTGACAAAATGGATGGATGTAAGTATTGGGTACTAAAAGAAAATGGGAAAAATAAAACTATTTTTTTGATAACAGATTTCCGAGATTTCAGGGACGCCTTTGTCTCATATCGACTGCTTCCAGTTGGGATTGAGAGAAATGCTGGCTTTGCCGGAGTAAGGATTGCAGGGGTGAGAATATACCTGCTAGGTGTCTATTTTTGCATGCATTCAATAAGAGCTCAGAGAACCAAAAGGGTTTCATGGTACCTTTAAGTGACTTTTCATTGTAATTTCTGTCTTGTCTTTTTGTAGTGGCTGTGTTATCTGTAACACAGCAGTAACATTTAACAGCTAAGGTTACCTTGTAACTATAAAAATAGTAACTGTTTAAACTTTTAACCTGACTCCTCCTGTTGCTATAACAGAACCGAACACAATCAAAAGAACCATAGCTGGTCAGGGGTAAATGCAGTAAGAGCTGAGCATTGAGTCATGCTGCCTCCACAGGGCAGAATCTTTGGGGCACCCGTCAGCCTCCCTGGCTGCCTGCC